GCTCTTGGTGCAGTTTTACAGGGGAATCATTGAGTCTGTTATCTGCTCCTCTATAACTGTCTGGTTTGGGTCTTCAACCAAACAGGACAGAATCAAACTCCAACGAATAGTTAAGTCTTGAGAAAGGATCATTTCAATTCATCTGCCTTCTGTAGAAGAACTATATACTGTGAGGGTCAAAAGGAGGGCAGAGAGGATATCTGCAGACTCTTCTCATCCTGGGTACAATCTGTTCCAACTTCTTCCTTCAGGACGGCGCCATAGAGCTCCTTATGTTAAAACATCCAGACATCAGAATAGTTTTTTCCCTCGTGCCATTGCTTTGCTGAATACCATGTGATTTTTTTTTTTTTTTTTGTTCTTATCCAAACGCACCGTTGATTTTGCTGTTATCACCGAAGATAAATTCAGCAGGTATGTTTTATACTTGGCCATTAAATTATTAAAGTAAATTAAAGTAAAGTAAAGTATCAAAGGCATCTTGTGCTGAATACGAGATGACATATGCTTGATACAGAGCTACCTCATTACCACAATATAACTTGAATGAAATACTTAACACTACTGCCATTTCATATTGTTTCATTACCAGCATTGTGCACACATTAGTACTAGAGGAAGCCCCATAACTCTAATTATATGTAACAGAATTAAAAATCACCAAACTCTTATGAGATAGCCAAGTCTAGAAAGATCTCTATGTCATCACTGCAGATCTCAGGAATTTTGGGGCATGTTTTTACATTTTAAAACTATTAAAATGTCCTTATTTTAATTAAGTTTTTTATTATGTTTTAGCATCCACAACTCTACATGAACTCATGAAATGGTACTCACTTCCTTTGCTAAACCACTGTGCAAACAAGAGCTGTAAACAGTCAACTGCCCTTGATGCATCTTGCAAAGCCACTGTTCTATTTTATGATTTGTTTCAGAAAATTCATGACCTTCATAACCACACATCTCTAGATGAACTGAATCAAAACTGAGCAATATGAAGTAGAAATTTTCTGCAACAGAAAATGTTTCTGTTAATATATTCTATGGATTTTTTTATGTTTAAAAAATGCCAAAGAGCAAGCTAAATTTATAAGCACAGTTCTTTATCATCTCCAAAAAAAGTAATTAACACATTTTAATCTTTAACCTTTCTCCTCTTAGGTTAAAGCTTATTTCTGGGTAAAGGTAAGCTGTACTGTGCTGTTAATAAGTAAATAATGCAAGGGTAGGGAATACTATTCATCTGACATACCTTAAACATTTAAAAACTTTCTACGAATATGTCCTAGACCAAGCTTTTGATTTTGTTTTAAGAGAGCATTTAAATCATGCACAATACTTCAATTTAACTATTTCTGACAATTTGGTAGAAAACCTTAGATATTTATACAGCAACGAGATTATGAAATAATATCTCCCTCAGTTTAGATCAATGAAATAACTGCAATTAAAATACTTTCCAAAGAATATACAACATTGTTGTTGTGCAAGGCTAACTATTCATAAATGACTATTTATTTCAGTCTTGGTTAACTATTTTTTTTTAGAAGGACATCAATCTTTTGCAGCAAAAATAATACACAGCTCGTGGTACTTTACACACTAATTTTCACACATCCCTTCAACCCATTCCATCAAACATATATTTTTTTGCAAACATTACTCTATAAAGTGCCCTTAGCTTTGATAGTAACGTAATATTATTAAGACCCATTTATTGCATTAAACAATTAACTTTGTTGTTTAATTGCTGGATTCAGAAATTGTGTTAAACCATGTTTTTTTTTAACAATGGTTTCTAAATAAACTACAGTGCCTGAGTTTAGAAATAATGCTAAGCTATAAGCAATGGTTTACAACCAGAATAGTTAGTTCAGACAATATGCTAAATGAAAACTAAAGAAACCACCAGTTGCTTAGATGATAAGTGAACCCAGCCAAACGCCAAATAGGAGTAGATTTCTCAATGATATTTTTTTTAAAAAGGAGCAGGAATAGTTTCATCATAAAGCAATTTTCTACAGGATAAGGTAAAACAAAGAAGTGATTAATAAACAGTGAGCAAATGAACAGTTTCCTTTTGCAGTACCTTTTCACATTTATTGAAAAAGAGTAAGATTCAAGGATCTATATTTTGGTGAATAAGAAAACACTTAAGCACAATATCACCGATCAGATTCTGACCTAACTGAAAACTATTCTCAGCAGCCCACGTGGTATGGTGACCAGATTCTAAAGAATAATCTTAATGCAACTTTCTTCTTCTTCCCTCCCTTCCTTCTTCCAGATGAGAAACTCAAAGGCTGTTTCTATGCATCATTATTATACTAGAAAAATGTATAAAACCTTGCTAAAAAGGATCACAAGTTGCTAAGAAAGAATACAGCTTGAGATTCAAATTATTTCTATTATTCCTTGTACAGCAATGTTCCAGCTTACCTAGCCGAAGGTGTTGTTTGCTTCGGTTTCCAAGAATGTAGATAAACTGGGCCTCATCTGTGCCCCATTTCTGCTCTCCAGCTTCTAACAGGTCCTTTTAGAAAACATAAATACACAGAACATCATCAAAAAGGGAAAAAATACTCTTACCATCATCAACCTTTTCAAAGCATCTTATCTTGAAGCTCTAAACTGTCCTAAAATAATGACCCATATAACTCAAGTCAACATTACTGAATTCTCAGAACTGATATTTAATATTGATCTGATAGCTCAATAAAAATTAAGTTCACTTTGTATTAATATTTACTAGATGGTTTTGAATCATCTATGGCAGATTGACAAAGCTTTCAGGAATATCAGATCAATTTCAGATCAACCTAAACATAAAGTCCAGTGAGCATATTTCCTTGAATTTAATACCAAAAATTCAACTGGGAATTTTTAGAAGTCTTATTCTTCAGTCTTTTACATTGACAAACTATAAATATTATCTACATCGAAAGAATAACTTAGCTTAGGAAACCAGTCAGAGCTAGGCTGCCAGATCATTTGACCAGTAATAAGAGTTTATGCGCTGTTGGAGATAATACAAACAAGCATTTTTCAGATCTGTTCTCATTTATATTAAAATGGATGTTTCTGGGTGTAGCTTTGATTACTATATAGATGGCCATAGAGTATGGAAAAGTAGAGAAAACTCACATCAGAATTGGAAAAAATTATCTGGTCAAGACTTTTACTGACCTCTCGAATATATTCTCTTTTCCAGGACTGGATTTGTTCTTGCAAAAAAAAAAAAAAAAATCAAATTCTTCCTTTGATGCATCAGTACCATGACTTACCTTGGCATCTTGTTCCACTAAGTCTTCACTCACAACATCATCTTCTTCTCTGTTGCCCTATAGAAAAAATAATGCACAGTTCTATTAGTATGGCATAAATAAGGAATGGAATAAAAGCTAAAAGAAAGCACAGAGACCAGCATACCTGAAGCAGTACAATGAGCATCTTCTTGAAGTGTCCTGAACTGTCTGCTATGACATCTTCCTCCAAGTCCCTTTCATATGCTAAAAGAAACATATAAAACTTACTGACCTTGCTGTTTTTCTCATCTAATACACAAGTGTATTATATATTAACACACAGCCAAAAACAAAGCTGAGCAAGCGTTCATAAATGCATTCCTCCACAAACTAACAGCACAAGGACAAGGACAAAAGCAATATAATTGTACAAACTGAGTAAAAGGCTGAGAGAACCTTTGTCCATCATCACTGAGGTAAAGCTAAAACTTGTTATTGCAAACATACATGTAGTATACTTTTGAACATCTTTAATTTTGTAAACTACTCCAGGAAATTCAAGATAAGATATCCATTAGAGACTGAGAGAAGACACAAAACTATTAACTTCATCTCAGTGGTAATATGTCCAGCCTGATCCTATACATCTTATTGCAACTTTAACAACCATGGGACAACTTTACAGTAGCCGGAGTCAACTCAATAAAAAGCTCTTGCAATAATCACCATCTTTGTAAGCCTCCACCAGAGCACGGATCTGTGAATTCGTCCGAGATGCCAGGATCTCAATCAGACTCTTCTCATCAGTCCCAATCCCCTAGGATTAAAGAATACAACTTATCTGTATCAGATGCAACAGACAGCTACTTAAAAAGATGGAAAACGAAATGTTCTCCAAAAGAAAAATGTACTTTAAAAATATAGTGAAGAGACTAGTATTGTCATGAGCTCCAGAAACAATGACAACCATAATCAAGCTCTTTCCTTACCTTTAGAGCATCTTTGATTTCCTTGGCATCAAAGTACTCCAAGGGCCTCATTAGACCCACAATCAGTCGTTCAAATTTTCCCGTCAATTCATATTTCAAGTCTGCAATCAGGTCCTAAGGAAATGGAAGAAAAGGTGAGGAAATAAAAAACAATTTGCTTGGCTCAGTTTGTTAGAAGACCACTCACCGCAAAAATTATAAAGTCTCAGGATCAATTAAAAAACTGAATTCAATATTGGAGGCAGAGTCAGATAAACTTTACTTTGCTAAATTAACAACTAGTATCTCCCTAGATAGGAAGCAAAGAAACAGTCTTCTGTTTTTAAATTAAAATATAATCTACGTGAATGCCACTGTTAAGGACATATATTATCTTCATGCAACATGTGAAAGAACCTTTATGAGATTAAATTGTCTGAAAATGGTTAACAATTTCTTACATTAGTCATCCATCATTTGTGGCTGCCACAACTCTTCCAACTCCCCTTAAATTCGCTGAATGACCCAGAAGATTCAGCAATACAGAGATCAATCTTGTTTTCTACTTCATCCCCAGTTTTTACAACTAATAGAAAGACAAGCAGCTTTCTTCTGTTTACAAGACATCTAGTGCAAAGTGAAACAGAATCCACCTGATCTCATGAGTTCCAGAGATTCAAAGAGGTGGTAGCTCAAAGCAAGGAATGTTTACATTCCAAGTTGTTTCTATCCTGTTTGTACAATACATATGTTTGGGACACTCATACATACAGAACACATTACCTACTTCCTCCCATTCTTCAATAAGGCAGGGTCCTATAGGTGTATGTGTATCCTGCACAAATAGACATGAGAGATGGGAGGGGGACTCCCCCTTGGACTATGGGGGCAACTGCCAGAGTAAAAGATGTGCTCACCACTGGCAATTTTGCATCACGATTAACAGACCCTAAAATTCTGTTTCAAGTATATCCTTGGTTTCTTAGTTGATTCAATTATGTTGCACAGCACAATTCTGCTGTAGTTGGGGAGAAGGAGGTAAGTAGTCACTTTAATCACTAGTATACTGTGACTGGAAGACAAGCCTTTAAGAGTCAGATGTACATGACGTAGAGAAAGACAGTAATGAAGTATATCCGCATTATATATACTACCATATATAACGCCTGATATATGGGAGGGGTCAGGATATCTGGAGAAATGACAGCCTGCCACTCATAATCCAGTACTTAAAGATGAAATTGCAAGCCTTATATGCATTCTTTTTTTTCCAGTTTTCCCATCCATTCTGGGACTGACCTTTCCATACAGAGCCTTATATGCTTGACAGATCTCAATTCTTTGTTTATTGCTCCTGGATGTTATGAGATCTAGTATGGCTTCTTTGTCACTGCCTGCAGAAGAAACATGCCTTAGTCATTTTAAGGTAAGAAGGTCCTAAAACTGACAGCAAAGGTATATAACACATATTAGAATCTATCTTGAAAAACCTGAATAAGAGTTCCATTTCTGCTTTGAAATGGAGCTGAGAAAATAGGAAGCCCACTGACATCCATGCTTAGTTGGGAGAGTAAAAAACTCCCTATTCCAGTCCATGGAAAATGAGAGAAAAAGAAAGTAGCTCAGTGTAATGTGGGATTAGAGGCAATTCTTGTGTATTCTCCCTCCTGCCCTTTAGTAGGAGGAACTATTTTGCTATTTTGAACAGTTTCACCTTGAAATTCTTACTCGGTTGGCACATCATCATAAACATAAAATCCTAAATTTCTTTCTCCCAGAATTATCAGAACAGCTATCCTACCACTTTCTCTCCAAACTAATCTGAGCTACAATATTTAATAGTAATTTTTTTGAAAGTAGCAAAATCCCTCTTGTGCTCCAAATACTTTATTTGACAAAGGAATGACGAATTTGGACAAGAATAAGCGTTTGTAATAGGGTTGTACATATTTTGAAAATATTTTGGAAAAAGTACTTTGGAACTTTTTAAGCCCAGCACATTTCTGCTATTCATTAAATCAATCTGTTGTTTTTCAGGATTGCAAGCAAGCTTGAAAAAGTGTGTGGCTGCTTTAAGAGTCATAATAACTTTAATAAGGGAATTCCTTAAAAGACTCACAACTAATTTTTCAGGCAAGCAGCTTATAAAATAGCATAAAAGTGCTAGCCTGACCTTGTGCAAGATTTGAAACATTTTTCTGGGTAACTTCAAAAGTAGGGACAGCTTTAGTTTGTAGGTCTGCTGCTGAGTCAGGTCTACCAATTGTCTGTATTGCTCCCTGACTAGGCAAAATAGACTTGTGGACAGAAAAAGGCATGTCATGAGCAAAACCCTTGTCAAAAAGGCTGGCCATCACTGTGTCACTGTTGTTCTATCTCCCTCAAAGCTAGTGCAAAATACATACAGTGCTGTGCAAAAGTTTTAGGCAGGTGTGAAAAAATGCTGTGAAGTAAGAATGCTTTGAAAAAGTCTGGACTGATGAGTCAAAATGTGAAAGATTTGGCTGTAGCAGGAGGCAGTTTGTTCGCTGAAGAGCTGGAGAGTGGTACAAGAATGAGTGTCTGCAGGCAACAGTGAAGCATGGTGGAGGTTCCTTGCAAATCTGGGGCTGCATTTCTGCAAATGGAGT